TGGGTCCCCAGGGTTTGGTTAGCTCCTTGGTAACAAGCCTAACTTAGGAGTAAAGCCCCTTTGACCTTTAAAATAGCTAGTCAGAACCACACAGTTGGCATTTCCTTTATTCTAATATTACTGAGTTAATTGCTCAGGAAATTATGGGGCTATTTTTAATATGATGAACATTAGTATTAATGATCATGATTAGGGCTAATAACTGTTTGCAGAGTTTTTTTCCTGGAGTTTGGTACACGAAGATCTCACTTGCATCATCTCATTTTTCTCACAGTGAATTCTCTGGAGAAACCCAGAACTCACCATCCTTGTTCTCTCATTGAATTCATCCCTTTGGTTGAGGTATTGATGTTGGTTTAGTAGGTTAGCAGAACATTTCCAGAAAAAAAGTACTTTGCAGAATTCAGAATCTGATAACAGTTAGCTATTTGCTTGTTTGCAGTGTTGATTTCCTATCTCTTGACAAGCCTTGAGAATCTTTTTTTTTTAATCTAGAAAATGATAGGATATAAAAAGACAAAGGAAGAGGAGTCAAGGATGAGTCCAGAATCTGGTTCTGAACAACTGGAAGTTTGAATTTGTTGGTGGAGGAGAGGAAAGAAAGATATAAATCCAAATATGGGGGGGAGATAAACTGATCTGCTTGCTATACATTGCAGTAAAGATAATTGGCTCATGGGAGGGAGTTCAAGAAAATTTGCAATGCAGCTGTATATTTTCTGTGTTGTTTTTAAATCTCAAAGAATTTTTTGATTTTTTTTGTCATTTTTTTCCTTGACCCATTTGTTGATTAAGAGTGTCGTTCAGTTTCTATATGCTTGTGAATTTTACAGCTTTACTTTTCTTACTGATTTCCTCTTTCAATTTATCATAGGAAAGATGAGTGTGTATGTGGTGGGGGGCTGTATAAATATTAAAAGAGAAAGTACAGATGGCATGGAGCTCATCTTTAACCTTGGGAATCTGGTTAAAGTTCAGGTTTTGGTTCAGTAGTTCTCAGATTTCTGCATTTCCAGCAAGTTACAGATGGAAATACTCTTCTGTCTGTAGACCACACTCAGCCTATATTGGTCACCAGCTGAGCCACAGATAAGAGCTTTGGTTATTTGCAAGAATGAGAGTCACTGAGTCTGCCTCCAGCTGGCTCTGTCCTTCTCTGTGCTTAGCAGAAGGAGGACTCTCTTCCACCTATAAACAGAAATTTATAGTTGCTCACTAAGGAAAGTCAGAAGTTACAATGAACGACATGAACTATTATGTATTATAAATGCCTTTAAAATAATGAGATTGTGTGTATATGTATATTTTCATAACTAGACTGTCATTGTGTCTCCCTTTAAAACTTTTAAAAACAAAGAAAAGAATCTATCCTTCTAGTCATTACTCATAGTAGCCTGGCAAGTCTAGCAGGTGTGTGTGTGTGTGTGTGTGTGTGTGTGTGTGTGTGTGTTGGGGATAGGTGAGCAGAGAAGTAAAGCAGAGCACATTCTTCAGAGGAAATATCCTCATTCCAAGGGAGATGCACAAGTGAGAAACAGCCCAAACTGTCCAGTGCCACAGCCTAAGAAAGGATGGTGCTGAGAAGAATGGCTGCCAGGAGAAGTGGGAACCCCGGGCTTCATTTGAATAACCTGGTGCTCCTCAACGCGGCTAGAGAGTTCAGGGGTTTCTGGCAAGGATCAGATCTTAACTCTTCTCAGTAGCGTGAGCAACACGGTCTCCACAGTAGCTTCTCACCTGTACCCCAAAGCAGCCACCCATGTATAGAAGGTGGATGTGGCAGTATGTCACATAAAATTATTTATGAAAACTGAAATGTGACTTTCATGCCATTCATTTAATATTACTGCTTTTCAACTATTTACAAATATAAGAACCACTTTTATCTTGCAGGCCTTGCATAGATAGACAGGTGGTAGGCAGGGTTTGGCCTTGGCTGGAGTAAGTTACATGCTGTCAGAGTGATTGGATTGGTGGGTAGGATCTCACTGGATAGATCTTCAGTACAGAAGTGTTGGCAGTGTAATAAGATAGCCTGACTCAAAGTTTAGCATCAAAGGTACTTTCTACTAAAGTAGGGGAATGGCAACCATGGGCTTATTTCATATTACTGTCCTTCAATGCACTAAGACTATTCCTTGTGACGCTCACTTTCAAATGGTAAGACTCCTTCATTGCACTCCACAGGGTATTTTTACCTAACCCTCTCAATGGCCTTTCTGAATGGTAGAGAAAGGGATCAGCCCCATTCCACAGAAGAAACTCACCCATAGAACTGGAGTCATTAATTTAGGGTGATAGTATCCCCAGGGAACTCACATCTAGATCTTCCAAAAACTTTTTATTTTCATCCCCCCAAGAAGGTAGTCAAGTTCTTAGATGTCCAGCCGTTTACTAGAACATGGAGCTTTTCTGCAAGAGAGAGATTAGGTCACATGTTATCCGGGTTGACTAAACAGAATGTGTTTGCATTCTATTTTTCAAGTGAATAATTACAATGAATACAAGTGAAAAATAGCATGTTTCTCATTTCCCTTATGTGATTAGACATTTTATGTATCACTTACATTCATGTTCAAGCTTCTTGTTATAGATTAACAGAGGATAAGCAAGCCAGGTATTTTTCTCAGCCAGTTCTTTTATTAGCAGGCTGCATTTTGTGGGTAAAAGGAAAAGATCAATACTCACTTCATTATTTATCTTAAAAGGTAATCTTATAAAATCTGGAAAGAATCATGAATCTGAACTTTTATATATGAAAAGCACTCAGTCAGCTCTACTTTCTGTCCTCAGGGTACATACCCGTTCGTTCATCAACAGTTTTTTTTTTTATATCAGGAAGCTGAGGGCAGTAATGGGTACAAGGAATTAATCATCACTTTGATCACCAACCCATCCTGGAAAGTTAGGGACATCAGCTAATAGTAACTGGGCTGTCTTTGTTCTTGTTTCTTGACCCCAATGAGTCCTTACTCAACTTTGTGCCTTTCTAAACTTTAAATTGTTCCCCAAGATTTTCTACCTGAAAACCATCAAAAACGAACATCTTAACCTAACCTTAAATTATTATTTACATCTTTGCTTTAGCTAGGATGCACACAAAAACCCATGAACACATCCCCCAACATTAAGATGGAAAGAACATGAGCTAGTGTAGCTTCTGGGACATAATTGTTTTTTTTAATCATTAGACTAAGCCACAGTACGGCCCCTCAAGAGAAACTCATAAGTCCTAGCTGTGTGACATTTCCATATTCTTATTTTCTGTCCTCTGCAGCCCCTGCTTTATCAGAGGTTGGGGCAACACCATATCCTGCCTTTACCTACATTAATTTTCCCACCAAACTAACCTCTATCATAATCATTAAATTATTAAAACCCCTCAATCATCAAAATTCTATTTCAGCTGACACTATTGTATAAAATCATTGCATCAGTTAAACAGTACAGCGTAAAAGGAAATCATCTTCATGATAACCCAAAGGTAAAAATGCCCAGTAGAACAGGATATTTCCATGAGATAATCACACTACCTCAAAGGCAGTGGGGATGCCGTTACACCTATTCACACAGTGACAGATACCAGAGAAAAGTGTCAGCAGCAAACATGTAAAGGCACAGTAGTAGCAAGGAACATTCTGGAGCTCAAGTCTGTGGGGCCTTGCCTACCTGAGATTCACCCATCAGTGCTCTGCTTGTGGTGGGCCAGTCTCCTGAAGCTCATTGCCACCTGCTGCTCCTCTGACATGGCTACTGTCAGATTTGGAAGCTGGGGGTGTGAGAAGCCAGAAGTGACAGATTAAGAGTAATTTTTATTGTCCGTGAATGGTCCCAGAGAATCCCCAAGTAGACAGTAATGCCCATGTACTGTCTGCACTCTTAGTAAACTGCCTATTCTGGGGACATCAGGGACATGGTTCTTGGTACTCAAGTGACAGTTTTATGCACAGGAGTCTGCCTGGCAATATGTCCTCTTGTTGCAGGACCTATAATGAAAAAAGATCAACTAAAAATTGCTTTTGTACCAAAGATTCATGGTCATATTTTCTGTCTTCAGCTTTCCTAAACCAGTTCTTGTTGACTTTTTCTTCTAGTGACCCTTAAGAGCCTAGATGAAGAGAGACTTCTAGTTGTATAAGTCATGGGGAACAGGTTGAGGGCTCCCCTTGGCCAGCCAATCACTTAGACTTCATTGGGAGCTTTTTCATGGATTGCAACTTCCCCCAAGGCCTTCCTGGGTGGGATCCTGCCATTCTGTAAATCCTGGGTTGACACTAGATTATCATAAGATAATTGCCGGGCGGTGGTGGCACACACCTTTAATCCCAGTACTCGGGAGGCAGAGGCAGGCAGATCTCTGTGAGTTCTAGGCCGGCCTGGTCTATAGGGAGAGTTCCAGGACAGCCTCCAAAACAGTACAGAGAAACCCTGTCTCAAAAAACAAACAAAACAATTAATAGCTTCATATCTGATCAGTGAATGGATGCTATTTAACCAAGATGCCTCTTTCTAGGTATCTGAACCCCAAGGTGGGCGCCTGTGACTATGAGGGAGCTCTGAGGTACTGTTTTGGTAGATATTGCTTTAATGTCTAGTCTGATGGCTTAGAACAACTGCAGTAGTAGCAGCCTGTGAGCTGCGGCTGTTCCTGTCTGGGGCACTAGAGAGTAATTCCCCACATAGCATGACCCTTTCGCATCCTCTCTCCTTTTAGACTACGCGTCTTCATGTTGAACCTTGTGTCTGTCTTGTTCCTGGTTGCAGCATCCGCTTGCCCTTCCCCTGCAGTGGGGCCCAGCCCAGGAAGTAGTGCTGAAGAAAGTCACCTGCCAAGGTTTGGCTAAGTGGGGAGGTGGGAGCTTTGTCTGACCACCCTGGGATCAGGTCAAGGAGAGAAAGCAGAGGACTTGTGAAGGAGAGAAGGACGCAGTGTGTATCTGTGTACCAGTGCTCACTGTTGTGGGAATTCCAAGACTGCATGAGGGTCTTTGCTTCTTCAGGTTGAACTGGAGCACTCTGCTTCCTCTATGGCTCCAGCCTCGTCGCCTGGGACTTCGAACAAAAGGCCCAAACTTCATGTTGGAGGACTCCACCGTTCAGATTTTTGGGGGATCCATACACTATTTCCGTGTACCCAAGGAATACTGGAGGGATCGCCTGCTCAAAATGAAAGCCTGTGGCTTGAATACCCTTACCACGTAAGTGCTGCCTCTCCATCCCTGCACCAAGCCTGGCTGCCAAGTTGGGGCCCCTGGTGCTTGCCTTGCAGGAAGAAAGCTATGAGAGGAAGTCAGCCCAAGCTGCTTGCCTAGGCTTCCAAGCTCTATAGAACTCCCTACAGATGAGGTGGGGGAGATGCAAACAGCTGGTAGACAAACAGTAGTGGAGAGAGAGAGAGAGACAGAGACAGAGAGAGAGAGAGAGAGAGAGGGAGAGAGAGAGACAGAGACAGAGAGACAGAGAGAGACAGAGACAGAGAGACAGAGAGACAGAGAGGAGAGAGAGACAGACAGAGAGAGAGACAGAGGGAGGGGGAGAGGGAGAGAGAGACAGAGACAGAGACAGAGAGGAGAGAGAGACAGAGAGAGACAGAGGGAGGGGGAGAGGGAGAGAGGGAGAGACAGAGAGAGACAGAGACAGAGAGAGAGACAGAGACAGAGACAGAGAGAGACAGAGGGAGGGGGAGAGGAAGAGAGGGAGAGAGGGAGAGAGAGAGAGGAGAGAGGAGAGGGAGAGAGAGAGAGAGGGAGAGAGAGAGAGGGGGGTTGAGCATTGATATGAGAGGTGGTTTGTTTATTCATCTTGTGGCTTGAATAAATTAACTTACTTTTTCATAGTTCTAAGGCTAACCACTCATGGCCAAGCTGTCTACAAGCTTCGTTTTCTCCTGTAGCCTCCATGGCTAGCAGAGAACTGTCATCTCCCTCATATCCTCAAATGACTTTTCCATTGTAGTTGTGCATTTCTAGTGTCTTTTCTCTTTTGTTGTTATAAAGACATACTACAAATGATTTGTGTTTTTGATAAAGGTTCTCAACTGGGTAGCCCAGGCTGGCTTCAAACTCTCCATCTTCCTCCAATAGAGTCCTGAATGCTGGGATTGCAGGTGTGCACCACTTGGTTCAGATTGACAAGTAACTTTTTTTTTCACAAGCAACTTCTGCTTCCCAAATTTTAGGATGGTGGCCTGTCATCAATTCAGCACCTATTTTCTGAAAAGATCTTTGGATTGTGGTAACTCTCATCCCTGACTGTTCCATGCAGGCCCAAGATGAAATGTAGGCTATGCAAGTCACCTAAAAAGTAGATTTAGAGGCTGGAGGAAGTGACTGAGTGATGTCAGGCGCCTCACAACCTGCTTGTTGGTCCAGCTCCAGAGGCACCTTTGGTCTCTGTGAGAACCTGCACTCACATGGACGTACCCCACTTTCCAGACATACATACAAGCACATAATTAAAAATAATAAATAAAAATGAGCCTAGTTAGGAATAATCTTGAACTTCTCATGGCTTTGTTTTCAAAGTTGCTAACATTTGGTGCTGTCTGTATGAAATAAAGAGGACTATCAGGTTGAAATGCTCCATTATCAGGCATAAAAGATGTGATTACAAATGAAGGAAGTGGACTGCCAGGAATGGTTTGTGAAATAGCTTTGAAGATAGTGATAAAAGGGACAACTACAGCGCTGTTGAAAGTAACATGTACGACCTCTTAGAGGATTCCAAGGTCATGACAATACTGCAGTGTATGCTAACCAGGGTCACAGCCTGGCCTTTTATACTGCGGCACTTATCTGTCACCTAAGTCTAGTTGACACTCTGTCCTCCTAAGGAGATGTGGTATTCTTCCTAGGACTTGCCTTGAGTTCTCTATGGTCCCCGAGGTTTGAAGTTACTGAAAAGCATCTCTTTAGCCATCGTAATGGGTGTTAGAGATAAAAATGCTTATGTGAATTATCTTGTCTCTTACAGCTATGTGCCGTGGAACCTCCATGAGCCAGAAAGAGGCAAATTCGACTTCTCTGGGAACCTGGACCTGGAGTAGGTAGTCTTGGTGCTTTGTACCTGGTCCGGGATTAGAAGTTACTTGGGGTTGATGAAGAGCACTCATGATGTCATGCTAGGCTCTGCTTTGAGAAACTGAGGACTGAGTCTAGAGCCTTGTTCTTAACATGCTTAGAAAGGTTCTGAACTTAGGGCCTAGTGCTCCTTGCTTGTGACTTGTTACCCAGGGAGCTCAGCCTATAGGCTCCAGTCCTCCTTTTCACTACTGTTCAGTGGGCCAGGATCCCAGATCCCACTAGACTCTGTTGGGATCCATATTCTTGGGATAGGATTGGGGCTGCTTCTGGGTTAAAAAGGCTGTTGTTTGGAACAAAGTCCTGTACCCCATATGACAAATCCCAGAGGGTCTGCGTGGATGGTCCTGATACAAGGAACCATCATACCCAGCTCCCAGGGCTTCTGGTCTTCCAGAATCCCCTGCTGCATTGAGCCCGGGCCAAGCCATCCTCACTCCATGTTCCCTGATTGAGAGAGAAGAGACAGAGAGGTTTGATACCATACTTGCCTGTGACTCCTCCCATATCTAGCCATTATTCTGGATCCTCAGGGCTGAGTTTCTTTCTGTCCCCCAGGGCCTTTATCCAGCTGGCTGCGAAGATTGGGCTGTGGGTAATTCTGCGACCGGGGCCCTACATCTGCAGTGAGATTGACCTCGGGGGCTTGCCCAGGTGAGAAAGGGCAGTGGGGGGCTCCGGAGTAGCCAGAGGGGTCTGGATGCCCAGTTATGAGGCTTACAGATGTTGGCTTAGGTTTGTTTTTAAGGTAGTTTTCATTCTGTGCAGCATTTCCTTTCTGGAATAGGTGTCGCTGACACAGGCTATTTGGAAGAATGCTGCAGTTACTGTCCTTGTTGGGTACCCTTGGGTCTTTCCATGTGTCAGGTGACAGCAGTGGATCGCTTATCTGTTTGGAGGCATTTCATTCTTCTGGTCACTCTGGAGTGGCACCCAGTCAGGCTATTTATCTGATCTGACCCTTACTGCAAAATGAGGCAAACCAAACCTGCCCTGTCCATTTCTTAGAGATATTACTGTTGATTTATTAAAACCCAAGTATTGCTGTAGTATAGAGGAGTTGGTGTTGCGGTTTCTGTCCTCAATTCTCCTGGGTCTGTTCTTCTAAGTGCAGTTTCCACTAAGGTCAGTGTGCTAAGCGTTATGCTCTGGGAGTGGTGTCTGGATGGGTATCTATCACATGGGCCCACATCCATTCCTCTTCTATCTTAACTGGTGTTATCATCTCTGGCCTCACAGTTTCAACCATAGGTAGCTAGCCACAGCCTTCCCTGACCTGTGCTGTCCCCAGAAGAAAGAAGGCTGAACCTCTTTGTCTGGAAGGGGTGTGGGGAACTCTCTCTCACAACACAAGTGCTATGCCCAGGCCTTATGTGCTCTGTTTCAGCGTCAGGCACAGCCTGTTTCCTCTCCAGTAGCCAGCATCAGTCTGGTGTGGCACAGTGTCCCAGACAGAGCTGTGAGCAGGGGCAGAGCTGCTTGTCCCTCTTTGCGGATTAGACACCTGTGCCACCGTCAGCGTTTTCCTTGGGCTCAGCTGGAGCTGGGCATGGGAGGACAGCAGGGTTTAACAGTCTTAAATTAGAAGCAGTGGGGACTCTCACTCTCAGATCCACCCTCCCTTTCTGTGGTTGGGGGCTTCTGTCTAATCACGAGGGTTTCCTAGGAGGATAGGGTGTCAGTGCTGTGAGAAACCAGGCCTGTTTGATAGATTGGGACATGCAGGTTAGGCTCAAGGAGATGCTCCCACCAGCCTTTCATTACGAACTGACATGCCCTGATGACATTTCTGTCCCTTTTCAGAGTTTCTGAGTTAGGGGAAGGGAGACCTTAGAGTCTCCTATTAGAAAGTGTGTTAATCAGGACTTTATTTGAGTGGGAAGTACTTCGACTTTAGTCTTGGAACTAGCCCCTGGTGTTGAGTTTCTGTTGGAATATGTGACCACAGCAGATCAAGGGAAGATGTCATCTTGGCTCCCTGCTGCTGCCCTGGTGGCACCCTGCAGGGTGCAGGCTCATGAGTCCCTCAGTCAGCACACAGTCAAACTCAGTCACATTAGTTTCTCCGGGGCGTCCTGGAAGGATGAATCCAGGTCTCTCCATTCCCAGTGAGTTGTAATCCTCTTGGCATTGCCTTTGCCCCCTGCCTTGGGACAGGGTCTTACTACGAAGGCCAGCAAGCTCACTATTTAACTCAGACTGGTTTAAAGCTGGTGATTCCCCTGCCTCAGCTGAGTGCTGGGATTCCAGGAGTGCTCTACCATGCCTGTTTTGGTTCTCTAGTGTAGAAACTTGAAAACCAGGCCTTGCTTTTTTCCTTCCAGTGGACAGTGAGCGCTCCTGTAGCTGCGAAATTGAACTCTTAACTTCAAGGCATTGGGTGTGTAGGCTGACACAGTGGTGTGCTTGCCTCTGGCCTGTGTGCATAGCTTCCTGACTTCCTAGCTAATTGGAGGTGGTGAGGTGGTGACTAACCCTGGCCTGACCTGTTCTCCAGACTCAGTCTTGAGCTCTGTGCAGCTACTTCTTCTTTCACCCTGCTCATCAGCCTGCCTGAGGAAAACCTTCAGACTCTGTCACTAATACTCCTTTTCTTTCCTTCTCCAAGCTGGCTCCTCCAAGACCCCAACATGAAGCTGAGAACAACTTATCATGGCTTCACTAAAGCAGTGGACCTTTACTTTGACCACCTGATGTCCAGGGTGGTGCCACTCCAGGTACAAGAAAAGAGGCTTTTTGATCCTTTCCTGCCTGGCTTCTGAGTAGTAGGCAATCCTAGGAAACCCCTCAGATGAGAGTCCTGAAGTTCTCAACACAGCGACGTAGTCTACACCACTGCGCGAGACCTGGAGGGACTTCAATACTTACGTTTTCAGAGTGTGCATCCTAGGGCTGAAATGGCAGATGGGCATGAGGACCCGCATTAGTCTGTGCAGCCAGAGCTACAGTTGGGCTTCAGAAGTTAGGATGCCTTAGGAATGGAAGCATGCATCTGTCAGAGTCCCAACCACACAGTGCTCACAGCACAGCACAGCACACATGGATAGGACCATGATAGGACGGGACACTGTCGCCTAAGTATAAAGTTCTAACTGACGTCTTTTTAAAGTATTGCCCTATGCTACCAAACAGTGCCATACAATTCACACTGACTGTTCAAAACAAATATACTAAAATGAAACTTAGGGAGAAAGTATCTTAATATTTTATGTAACAATTACAAGCAATAACAAACAGGAATGGGATTAATTAACCCAGTTGCTATGTAAAACCGCAAAGAATGATGTCCGGAAATTAGTGCAGCAATAAAAAACTGGTGTGCTGGCAAAAAAAAAAATCACTCTTGGGTTAATGGTTTGGAACGTTCACAGCAACATAAGTCAAAATGAACAGCTAGATGAAACTGGATATTGAGGAGGGTTTGAAAGCCAGTATAAGCAAGGAAAAACTTTCATATAAATATACTATAATATCATTTGAACCACATTTATATTTACAAACTACTGCCTATTTGTAGAAAATCTTCATTGTAAGTCAGATGTAACCAAGTACCTTTTTATTTATTAAACCAGACTTTGCTAAATATGAAAGAAGCAGGAAGCTTGTAAGTTCTTAGCTGAGGTTTTCCCAGGGAACATGGCATTCCTGAGATGGTCCAGTACATTTTGTGGTGGGAGTAGCAGGGAAAGTTGTTCTGGGGATGCATTCTGAGGCTTGGGAATAGTATAACTAAGCTTGCTCATGGATACAGCACAATTATTTCACTTGGTTTTTTTTTTTATTGTGTAAAATGTATGTAACAAAAGCTGACCATTTCAGGTATACAGTTAATCATCATTAAATATATAATAATCTTCCTTATTAGAGGGGATATATTCCAAAACCCTTAATGGGTGCCTGAGACCACAGATAGGAGTAAACCCTACATATGTGACATGTTCCTATACAATGAAGTTAAATGGATCAGTCACAGTAAGATATTAAGGATAATAACAACATAAAATAGAACAGTTATAGCAATACACTGTAATAAAGTCACCAGAATTTCTAATCTTATACTCCATGGCTATTTTAAAGTACAGCCAGGGCTACTTGAACCCTGAGCAGTGAAGTCCTGCAATTCATCTGAAATTGAGGTGGCCACTGAGTGACTGATAGACAGGTTGTTTACAGCATGGACACTCTGTACAAAGAGATAACGTACAATCAGGCTGAACATGATAGAATGGTGCCAGCTTTATCAGATTACTCCTGCCATTAAATTTATGGTCAACTTAAAATTTATGAATTGTTCATCTCATTTTCTTCTGTCATTTGTCATGGGTAGTTGAAACTTGCAATATAAGCCCATCACTATATGATGGTTTAAAAACAGCAGCTATGGGGAAACTAGTCTGTGACAGAAACAACAGCTAGGGAGAACTGTTATATGATGGCTGAAAACAACAGCTAAGGGGAACTATGACAGCTTAAACACATAAGGAAAGCTGGAAAAGTTCTGAGAGCCTGAGGTTCAATCAGTAATTCAGTCAGTCAGTCAGTCAGTCAGTCAGTCAACCAACCAACCAATCTCTGCCCCTCCAACTTCATCCCTGTTGTCTTCTCTGTCTTCTCCCTCCCACCTAGGATGGCACACCTATGTAGGTAAGCATTCTCTCTAAACTAAGTGGTATTTTTATAGGAGATTAACCCACTCACAAGGGCTCCATTCTCACCATCTAATCACTTTTCAGAGGCTCTGTCTCTTAATACCATTTTAGGTTATGATTTCAACACATGGATTTTGGCACAATTTAAACTTTTGACCTCCTATCTCAGGCAATTGTGGAAACACTGGAATTGAGAAGTGATACAGACCATTTACAGAACCGCTAAACAAAACTCCAAGAACACCCAAAATCACCTAGGAGGGAAATGTGGGCTCTTAAGGAGAGAGCAGATATAGTGCAAGAACAGGAATTTTATCAGCTACTAAAAATGGGAAAGATGAAGGATATAAGGAAGGTATCTTAATATAATAAAGGCATGTACAACAAACACATGGTCAACATTATCCTGAACAGAGAGAAACTCAAAGCATCTCCATCAAAATCAGGAAGAAGACAAGGATGTCCACTCTTTAGGTACCAACTCAGCGTAGTTTATATCTTAGCTAGAACAATAAGACAACTGAAGGAGATCAAGGGATACAAGTAGGAAAGGAATTAGTCAAGGTATTCATAATTTCAGACAATATGATTATCTATATAAAAGACCCTAAGAATTCTACCAGGAAACTTCTACAGCTGATAAACACTTTCAGTAAAGTAGTTGGGCACAAAATTAATACAAAAATAAGTAGCTTCCCTATATGTAAATAGAAAATATACTGAGAAAGAAATCAAGGAAACAGTGTATTTTGTAATATCATTAAGTCTTGTATAATAAAAATTTGAAGACATTAAAGAAATACATTGAAGAAGATATTTGAAGATGGAAAAATCTTCTGTGCTTATGATTGCAGGATTAATATGTAAGAATGGTCATCCTACCAAAAGCAATCTACAGATCAATGCAATTTCCATCAAAATTCCAACACAATTCTTTGCAGAAAAAAATCTTAAACTTCATATGGAAACACAAAAAACATCCAGGGTAGCTAAAACAATCCTGAATAATAAATGTTGGAAATATCACTATCCCAGACTTCAAGTTGTATTACAGAACTATGGCAATAAAACCAGCATGATGTTGGCATTAAAACAGACATGCTGATCAATGGAGTAGAGTTGAAGATCCAGACATAATTCTACGTACCTACGGATGCCTGCTTTTTGGCAAAGAATCAAAAGAAAATACACACTGGAGAAAAGACAGCATCTTCAACAATGGTGCTGGTCAAACTGGCTGGCTGCAGGCAGAAGAATGCAATAGATCCGTATCACCCTATACAAAACCAACTCCAAGTGGATCAGAGACCACAGTATAAAACCTGATACCCTGAATATGATAGAAGAGAATGTAGAGCATTCACTTGAACTCATTGTCACAGGAAAGGACTTTCCTAATGGGACCCATAGCATAGGAGTCCCATAAGACCAACTATTAATGAATGGGACCTCGTGAAGCTCAAAGGCTTCTGTACAGCAAAGGACATCATCATTTGACCAAAGCAGCAGCCTATAGACTGGAGAAAATGTCTTTATCAGTTATATAGTTGACAGAGGTGACGGCACACACAGAAGGACTGATGTCGATAGGACCTCAGAAACTGGCAGCATGCACACGACCTCCACAAGGTCAAGCCAGACAGAATCCCAGCATGGAGAGGGGAAATGGGCACAGAGTTCACATCTAACCAAGAAGCTATTTGGGATTGTCAGGAGAGGGAAAATCAACCACACCCCAGGGTGGGCACCATCTTAGGGACAGTTGGACAACACAAAATGTGCTGTATGTTTTTATCTTTTTTGTTTGTTTTACTTTGATTTTTTATTTTAATTTTAAATAGCTTGTTTTACATGTCAATCCCAGTTCCCTCTCCCTCCCCTCCTCCCACACCTCCCCACCATCCCCCCCATCCTCCCACCCTATTGCCAATTCCTTCCGCATAGAGGATATCTAGAGTATATCATTTCATTCAGGGTAGGGTCCAGGCACTTCCCTAAGAGTCCAGGCAGAGAGAGCAACCCTCTTTGTGTTATGGACACATGATGTCTGTTAGCATTCGAGGGATAAATACTGATCCACTGCTCAGGACCCCATAGGTAGCCCATGCCTCCTCATTGACTCTCACATTCAGGGGGTCTGGATCAGTCCCATGCTGGCCTCCCAGCTGTTGGTCTGGGGTCCAAGAGCTCTCCCCTGTTCGGGTGAGCTGTTTGCCAGCCCATTCTTTGCCAATTTGCCCTTCGCTCCTCTCTCTCTGTCGCTGGGTTCCTTGGGTTCTGTTCAGTATTTAACTGTGGGTGTTTGCCTCTGCTTCCATCAGTCACTGGATGAAGGCTCCAGGATGGTGATAGACATCAAGTTCACTGTCAGGAATAGACATTCGAGGTAGTCTCTACACTATTGCTTAGCTTGCCAATTGGTGTTATCCCTTTAGATCACTAGAGGTCACAATGGTGCCTGATCTGTCTTCTAACCTATGATTCCCTCTTCCCCCTATCCTACCCCCCCAGTCGACCTTCCTGTTCCTCCACATCCTACTCTCTCTTCCACTTCTCCCCCTCTATTTCCCAGGTCCCCCTCCCCACCACCCCTCGCCTTGTTCCCCATCTGTTCAGAGGATCTTGCCTCATTTCTCTTCTCTTGGGTACCATGTACATCTTTTAGGTTCTTTCCTGTTTCCCAGACTCTCTGTCAGTGGAAGTGCAGACTGGCACTCTCCTGATTCATGTCTAAAATCCATATATGAGTGAGTACATACCATGTTTGTCTTTTTGTGACTGGGTTACCTCACTTAGGATGGTTTCTTCCAGTGCTATCCATTTACCTGCAAATTTCAAGATTCCATTGTTTTTTTTCTGCTGAGTAATACTCCATTGTGTAAATGTACCACATTTTCTCTATCCACTCTTCAGTTGAGGGGCATCTAGGTTGCTTCCAGGTTCTGGCTATTACAAATAATGCTGCTATGAACATAGTGGAGCAGATGCCCTTGTATGAATTTGCCTCCTTTGGATATATGCCTAAGAGCAGAATTGCTGGGTCTTGTGGTAGATTGATTCCCATTTTC